AAACTGTCATTACTGACGTCAAAATCTAAAGTAGCGCCGCTCAAGACTAAAACGCTCCCAAGGCTTGAGTTATGTGCCGCTCACCTTCTCGCAGATCTCTGTCACAGAATCAAACCCCTATTAAAGGTCCCTATCGAACGGATAGTCTATTGGTCAGACTCGGAAGTTACGTTGCATTGGATTCGATCCCATCCGTCTTCTTTGTCGATATTCGTCTCGAATAGGGTAGCGGAGATTCAGGAGTGGTCAGGAGAAGCTACGTGGCGGCATGTCCCAACTAACCAGAACCCAGCAGATATTGTATCAAGAGGTTGTGACATAGAGGAAATTAGCGATTCAATCTGGTTTACTGGACCATCCTTTTTGAAGAATGGAGAAGAGACCTGGCCCAAAAATTCACATTTCGTTCTTGATGAAAAGGTCCTAATTGAAGAATCAAGGAAGACTGTGGTAACGATGGCCGCCACGGTACGGAAGTCGGAACTGGTAGATGTCATCGAGGGATTTTCGTCACACCTCAAGCTGCTTAGAGTGTTCGGTTACATGTTCCGCTTTATAAGGAAATGCAGAGACAAGAGTATAGTTTTGGAAAAACTCTGTCTCCGAATGAGTACAACGAAGCCTTCTTAAAAATTGTCGAGACCATCCAGAAACACGAGTATCACGAAGTTCTTGAAAAAGTTCGGAAGAACTCCAGAGTTGGCCCAAGTCTTCAACGATTGAACCCATTCATTCATGAAGACTCAGGCACTTGGTGTAATTTTTCGTTGTTGCGAGTTGGGGGGCGATTAGCAAATGCTCCTATAACGTACGATGCCAAGTTTCCCCTGCTGTTGACAAAATGCTCCCAATTTGTGCAGAGCTATGTCCGGCATTTGCATCTAACCAATTTTCATGTCGGGCCACGAGCACTTGTGAGTCTCCTTCGACAGCGTATTTGGATCGTAAACGCTCAGGAGGTCTGCAGTCAAATAGTTCGATCATGTATTCGCTGCTTTAAATGCAAGCCTCGACTAATGACGCAAATTATGGGAAATTTACCCGCAGATCGTCTCCGTGCTCTCCGCCCATTTAGTATCTGTGGCGTTGATTTTTGTGGCCCCGTCTATACGACATTGAAAATTCGTGGAAGGCCTCCTTATAAGTCCTACATAGCGCTTTTTGTTTGTTTTGCGTCCAAAGCGGTTCATCTAGAAATTGTTTCAGATTTAACCACTAACTCCTTTTTATTGGCTTTCCAAAGGTTCGTTGGGCGCCGAGGATGCCCTCGCACAGTCCACTGCGACAACGCGACGAACTTCGTCGGAGCGAGTCGCCACTTCCAGGGCCTTCGGGAGCGCATAGAGAAGGAGGCAGACGCCATTCGAGAATTCGCGTCAAGAAGCGGATGCGAGTTTGCATTCACACCGCCTCGGGCTCCGCACATGGGCGGGCTTTGGGAGGCAGGTGTGAAAACTGCAAAGCACCTACTCCTACGAGCGGTGGGCAGCGCGCTCCTAACCGCAGAAGAGCTGGAGACGGTGCTCGTCGGGATCGAGGCGGCGATGAACTCCCGGCCGCTAGGCGCGCTATCCAACGATCCCAGCGACGGAGAAGCGCTAACACCAGGGCACCTGCTGACAGGCGGGCCGCTATTCCCCATCCCAGCACTCCGGACCCCGGACCAGGCGGGTCTCAGTTGCTTGCGGCGATGGCAACTTGTCTCGTCAGCCAGGCAAATGTTCTGGCGGCGATGGTCCCTGGATTATGTGCTGGGCCTGCAAATTCGGGGCAAGTGGCACCAGGAGCAGCCCAACATCCAGGAAGGACAACTGGTCGTCGTCGCCGAGGACAACCTGCCGCCTCAACAATGGCTGATAGGGAGGATCATCGCCACTCACGCAGGAGAGGACGGCATGGTCAGGGTCGTCGAAGTGAGGACCAGCGGAGGAGGGATTTTTAAGCGGGCCATCCATAAATTGGCGCCGCTTCCAATATGTTGAAGCCGGACGGGCCTTCAACGGGGCCGGTGTTGGCTGAAGCCAGTTTTTCGTTTTTTTTTATTTTTTGAATTGTTAGAATAAGTATCGTTGAATTTGAAGTTTACTGTAAGTTAGTTTAGGGCGAAGGCGGGAGCGCAATAAAGCTTTTGTTCGCTCTCTGCGAGTTCGCTCCGTCTTCGCCAACCTTCGGTAAGCTAGGCTTAAGTATGATTGTGGAGAATAGAGCATTCGTAAAATTGAGTTGAGTTCGAGCGCACACATTCTTTTTTCTCGTTTTCGTCGTTTCGCCAATAAAATTATTAATTAGCCACCCAAGTTCGGAAAATTAAATATTTAGAAAAACGCTTCTAGATTTTCAAAAAGTGTAGTTCTTATAAATGAAATTAAATTATAAATAAATTTATTGCGCTACTTAACAACCCGCAAACATTTAATTGGATGTTTTATAAATGAGTTTATATTTTCAAAACTAAGTGAAACAGAAAAGAATTTTCCGTCTTAATAAATTCACAATTAATATATTTTTAAGAAAATTTAACTTGTAGATAATTATGATAAGGGAATGTTTAAAAGAAAATTCTGGACTCTTTGACTTGTTTTTGTTGAAATGAAAATACGTTTCCGGCTGAGCTTTTGCATTCGAATTTCGGTTTGCTGGTCATGCTCCTATCTATCAAATACTGTATGATATATGTTCGTGCTCGGGTGTATGCACATACTTATACTTATAGAATAATGCATCGCATGTGTATATTAGTTGTTGCTATTTTCGCTGCAGACACGACCAACAACAACTGCAATGGAGCCGAGTCCGAGTGAAATGCAATCTGCGAGTTGGTCTAAAAATAAGCTGCATTTCGCGAATCTTTGATAAAAAGTTTTTGCGTGATGGGACTGATGTCCCCCCTCCCCTCATTTTCCCCCCTCGGATCATCATTACGATTATTTGGCATTTTTCACGCAGGCGTTAAAGCGTTAATTGGGTCATAAATTCAGAGGCACACATATAGACAGGCTTATATATATTTTCCAGCGTATTTTTATATTTTTTATTTCTTGTTTATTGAGCGAGAATCAAAAGCGAAGAGGGAAACTTCCCGAAGAGCCTATTCTGCGGAAATTATTCAATGGGGGATATCTATAAGTTCAAGTTTAAGAACAGCTGCGCCCCAAAAAATCGCCTTTTAATTTGGCACATTTTTAATTTGTCTTCAATTTGGTCGAAGCAATTTAAATGAAATCATGGTTTTTGGAAATTTATTGAAAAATATACAAATGTAAGAAATTGATGCCAAGAGAATGACACTCTAAAATGTATTTTCGGAATGCAAAAACAAATGTTTGGCAGCGTGGAAAAAGGTGTTTCGTTTAACTGACACTGAATAAGAAAAATTAATTTACCAGCTGAACGCACAAATTTCAAGTGAATTTTTTTAAGAAATTATTTAAGGCAATTTTCCACGAGCAGTACGAATACTATATAGTATGTACACTTGTACTTTGGGGGAAAATATGAAAGAAAATATAACCGCAGGCTTTTAAGTGTGCCCCGAAAGAAAAATGAATTCATGTCAAAGACAAAACTATTGAATAAGACTTTTTGGCAGCGTTTTGGCCGTGTTTGCTTGAATGTGGCTCTAACGCAAGTTCGGAGAGATACATGTATTTGCCCGTACAGATGCATTACGTAATGAGTTTTACAGAAATAAAAATTTCAAATGGCCCATTTCCCCAGTGCAAAAGGCAAAAATCAAGTGGAGAACAAAGCTAAGTGAGCTGCGTAAACAAATCACTCGAGTGACACACTTTCCTGTTGGCCTGTCATAAATATTTTGGGAATTTTTCATTTTCAATTTCCCCTTTTGCGGACTGACAGTCGCTGAGATAATTTGTTATCTCCGCGAACCTTTGTCGCCTTTCGCCGGCTGACTTTTGCTTAATTTGACTAAGGATACGACATATAAAACTTGACAGGGGCATTTCGCCAAAAACAAACAAAACACTAAACAAGAGGTGTGCAAAAATATTATATTCTCAGTCTTGAGATTTGAAAGAATTAACTGCAAGAGTTGGATATCTCTTTGACAGAATAGCATACTTTCCGGATCGGAATACTGCATACTTTGGGGACAGACTAGAAAATAATTTGGTAATTAACATAAGCGACTAACAGAATTATAAAATACATCAGAAAATGTTTAAATATTATTCTACCAAGTTTTGATTAAAATTATAAATTGAATTAATATGGTTAAAAAATGCCTAATATTAATCTCATTGAAAGATTAAGGAACAATTTTTATTTAATGCTACTTTAGTTACTTTCTTCAAAGTTAGTTATTTTCTTCAAAGAAACATACAAAAATATTAATTCTAGACACAAAAAATTCAATTAAAAACCATTAATATTGTTTATTATTGTGTTATCTATAACCTCAACACAAAAATGTGTCACCCAATTATAATATAAGTATGTATATATACGCCAAGGTTATGGATAAACCCCAGATGTCGACATGACAAATTTAACACAAACATAATGCCACTTAGCCCTGACCTTAGGCCCATTATTCAGCAATAATACCCATGAAATCCGATGTGCGAGCTGAAGAATCTATATATAATTTGTGTGCATGACAGATTGTTTTCATTTTGTCGCAATGACAAGAGCATTAAAGATCGAGTAAATCTATATGGCGAACACACTTTCCAATGGGACTTATGTGTAGTCCCATTGGTAATACCCGTGTCTCAAAACGATGACATCAGGCGAAAGTGCAAAATGGGCTGCAGATATATGTTGTAGAATTATATAGCCAATTGTGGGACGATTTATGATCCCTCTTCCGCTGCGGTTGCACTTGGATTGGATGGATGACACCCGTGCTGCCTCATGAATGATCTCAATGCCCGAGTATTTCGGCGGTCGGATGCAGAAGAATTGGCACAATCCGCAGATACGAAATTTCGGTGGGGCGTTCTTTCTACTATTTATAGCAACCAGAGTACAACGAAATGTTTTCTTCATTTATTCAGTTGGCTTTTATTCTCGGCATTTTTATAAAGACAAAATCGTTAAGTAAACTAACAGCTATGGTAAACAATCCTTCAATCGTTCGATGTATGTTTTTTATTTTTCTTTTTTTTTTTTTTGGGTCAAAAGGTCGTTAGTATAATACATAGTTTATACAATAATAAAAAGGGATCTGGGATCCCATGGGCGGGTGTTTACCCTCAGTCAGAGGAGCGGATGCTGGATTCTAGATTCTGGACACTGGATCTTTAACTGGGACTTGTTTTCATGTACAGCGTGCTCGGTTTTGTGGATTGTGGCTTGGACTGGATTGTGCTGGGCTGTGCTTGGCTTGACTTGGCTTATGAACATGTCTATAAGAAACAAATAGAGAGTAAATCAAATGGGTGATCGAGTGTTTGCTATTAGTTTGTTATTAGTTTTCGAACCAAGCGAGCTAGAAGAGCGGATAGAAGTTAGCGTCTTTGAGTATATCGAAGGTATCCACAACGGATCGAGCGGGAACAACTGCAGCTGTAGAAGTTGAAGTTGATGGAGGGGATTCTCCAATCTCCTCGATCGAAGACGCCGGGGTTATGCAAACACTCTGGCCAGTACTTATGGTGGATAGTAGATTCTCCTGCGTGGATTCTGGGGTTAAGTTTGTGGACACCGAAACGGGAGCAATCTCCGCCAAAGCGGCAGCCAAAGCTTTATCCAGGTGTGATTCTTCTGTAGCCTGCGGTTGTGTTTCTTCCTTGGCTTCTTCTTTGTTTTCCCTTGCCGCAGTCTTCTTGCGTTTCTTGGTCTTTTTCTTGGTGGACTGCTCTTCGTCTCTCTCCTGGTTTTCAAATTCAGCTATGCCTTCCAAGGATTCACCCATAAAAGCAAGGCTGCTTCTGGGAGAGAAGAGTCCTGATCCTTCTTCATTGGTCAAGCTGCTCTTGGAGCTTCTCCTGGATCGAGTCTTTCTCTTCGGGGTTTCTACTGTTCCCTCCTGATCTTCATTGCGTCGAGTGAAACCGGATTGAGTGTCCGAATCATTGTCATCTCTGAGTTCCTCTTCCGTTTTGGATCCCTTACGCAGCTTCTTCTTGCTCTTCTTTTTTTTGGCTTCTCAGCGGGTAATTCTTCCGGGGGTGCTGCCTCTTCTGGCTGTTCTTCTGTAGGTTCTTCTTCTTGTGGGAGCTCTTCCGGAACCTCTGGTAGAATTTCACGAACAGGACTGCGACTGAAGAGGGTTATACTTTCTCCCCCGAGACTAATTCTTCGATTTTCCAATAATTCTCCATTAGGTAATTCCTCCAATTCTTCATTTGTGTACAATGGCTGCTCCTGATCCTGTTCTCCATTTTCTTTTTCCCCTTCCTGCCAATCCAGTTCCTCCTCCATCTGATCTCCAGCTTCTTGATCTTCAATCTCATTCTCATCTGTTGTATTTTGAGTATTCCCCTCCCCTTCTTCATTGTCATCCAGTCGGAAGTTCTTGCGCCAGTTGTACTCCCTCTTGGGTTTGTAATTCAGGTCCACTTCGATGTCATCTTCCAGTTCTCCCACTTCCAACTTGGGATTGAAACCATAGCGGGTACGCAACCTCGTGGATTGTCGGGCAGCCACATGGGCATCCCCCAAATAGCGCATCTCCGAATCCCTTTCTGGTATCAAACCCAAGGCAACGTCCACATCTGAATGGCGGTTAGCGGAATGAGATCGCTCCAGTTCCCTGGTTTTTGCCCACAATGCGTATTTCTCACTCTCCGAACCCGACTTTTCCCTATCCGATTCGCTGTGATCCGATGGTAGTTGCTCCTGAACCATGGTCTCGTATTCCCTGAGGATCGCCGACTGCTTTCTGTTCTTAATGGCATCGTTGTAGATCTGCTCGATGAAGGAGTCCGGATCGGAATAGGGAGTGGCTCCGCCCACAGCACCATCATCGAATCCGTAGTCAAGGAAATCCTCTACATCCTCCACTTCCTCCCAATCCTGAGCTCCACGGTTTTCATAGCGATCTGCATTCCTCTCAGCCTCCTCACACTCGGAAGTATCATGATGGGATTCATCGGTGGGTTGCGTGCGTTCGTTGTTATCCGAGATTCCCTCATCTAACTCAAACTCGTACTCATCCTCATCATCGATTTCTACAACTGTTTGCCGCGTGTCTTCGCTGTCGTTGGAACTACTCCTCTCGCGATCGAGATTCTCGTGATCTCCAACAATATCGTAGCTCCAAATAGCATTGGTAGAATCGAATTCAGCTGCCTCTGCTTCGGCGGCTAAAACAGCTCTTGCCCAGGAATTCTCATCCACCACCGGACTCTTTGAACCAGAAAAATCGTCTGATTCTTCCGGGTAGAAATCCTCCTTCAACCAAGTTCTTGTACCTGTGAGAGTTCTTACTTCGATTTGTGAGATGTAAACGTAGTCATCACTAGGATACTCCTCCACCGGTTGTTCCTGGGCGAGTGAATAGCGTCGAAAGTGATGGTATTCATCTGGCTCCATTTCACCCATCAAAGCGGAATCCGAAGCCCTTCGCTCGCTGTCCAAGAAGTCGGCATTCAAGTGCCGCGAAAAGTTCTCAAAATTAATGCTCGAGGCGGCCAATCTATCCAGTAACTGATCCTGCAACTCCCTTTTAGCAGACTCTGCTTCGATGTCCTTCAACTGGTTTAGTTCATCTTCCCTCAAGGGAGAACGACTTTGGCTACGCGATCGTTGGAACTCCGCAGTTCGGTGTCTCAAATCATCCAATTGGGCGGCAGATATTTCTTGGGACTCCCCGGTTCTCTCCTCAGGGTAATTTTTGGGTCTGGCACCCAAACGATTATCGGTTAGCGAGTCTAGAATTGCTGCTTGAAGTTCCCTTTGAGCTGCTGCTTGTTCTCGAGCCAAATCCATGCTAATTCCAGGAGATGGACTTCGGGATCTTTGAAACAGAGCAGCCTCCCTACGTAGATCCTTAAATTGATCACTTCCAAGATCCAGGGATTCACCCACGTAAGTGGAGCGTTTGAAACCACTGGCCATAAGTTCATCTTGTAAATCTCTGGCTACTTCGGAGATAGTGCGATCTAGATCTGGATTCTCCCTTGTCATTTCAACCACTCTCTCTAATTCCGAATTAGTTGGGCTAAGCACGCGAAGTTCTACTTCTTCATTGGCATTGTGTAGTTTCTCCAGGGCTTCTCGGTCCACCTCACGTTGTTTAACACTGGCCGCCAAGACACTTTCCAGCTCCTCGCTGTTTTTGCGTAGAGTTCGCAACTCGCTGCCTTCAAGATTAAGCATCAAATGGAAATCATCGGGTTCTTTTTCTTGTGACTGGGATCTTGAGCGAGATGGTGACAAAGAACGCATATCACGAACTTCTACAATGTGTTCCTCCTTCTCCTCTACAAACTCATAGACGTACTCCACTGTCAAGCGGGTTTCCGGTTCCGGTGTTCTTGCTCTTTCCTGCAGAACCTCGAAGAACTGATCATTCTGAGCAATTAGCTTCTCGCGACGCTTTTGCAAACTGTGCTCCAAATTAGCAGCAGTGGGCAGGGGAGATTTGGAACGCGATCGAGAGTGTGACCGTACTCGGTTCAAACGCAATTGCTCAAAAAGTTTGGCCATACTCTCGGGAGTGTCTTCAGGTTCAGTTTCAGTTTGTTCTCTAGTGTCTTCTGGTGGCTCCATAATTTCGATGGAAATGGTGGGTAAAGGAAGTGGAGATTTCGGAGGTGATGCGGATTCTATTACAATCTCTGGCGATGACATTTGATCGTGCAGTTTTTCAAATATCTCATCATTATGCTGAATACGCTTAAGCCTTCGACTTTCCAAGCTCTTTTCTATATTATCCGCAGTGGGCAACGGAGAACGCGAACGAGAACGGGATCTTGACATGGAACGGGCATTCCTTTCAGCTCTCAAGGTCTCCACAAAAAGTCGCATTTGTTCGGGCGTGTTTTCCGGTTCCTCCATGGGTTCATCAGCCATTTCGTTGATCTCAATCACGGGTTGCGGTAGAGTGATTTCCAATCGTGGACTTAATCTTCCATTTCCATTAGTTTCAATTTCCATGGAACCTTCAGAGGCAGAGCGACTCAATCGTTCGGCAAGCTCATCGTTTTGTTTAATCAATCGCTCTCTTCGTATGTGGATACTTTTCTCTAGATTCTCTGATGTGGGAAGCGGAGAACGGGATCGGGATCTAGATCGAGACCTTCCGACAGAAGGCTCCCTTCCCCTTTCTTCTTGGGGAGTAGCAAGCGAAGCCCCTTCAACAGGTTCATATACCATTGGGAGTACTGAATTTCCATTCCTAGCATCATCGGCTACATTTTGTATTTGAAGTTGCTCGTTCGAGGATTCGTTTCCATTCAAGTTTGACTCCAAGAGCTGAAGTACAGACTCACAATTCAGTTCACCTCCAACAATCCCCTCCTGCGTATCGTCAAACACTTCCAACGTTCGCTCCGTGTCCACATCCATGGTATTAGCTACGTTCTTAGGAGTTGGCGAAGGGTTACGAGAATTGGAACGTGATCTCGAGGGGTTTACAGATGCGGTAAAATCGTAGAAGTCACTGAGTCCCTCCATTAACAATCCATACTGATCCCGCCAAGGTGCCGTATCCGGTTGCTGGACATTTATAGTGGGTGTTGATCGCGTTGGCTGCTGTTTCACTGGATTCTGCTCCTGACTGGCGGACCAGCGCTCCGGGTAGTGCTCCATCTCGTCCATTCGCGGACTGCGACGCAAGCCAGGTGATCCACCCCTCGATTGCTCCTCTGTTGCGGAAGAGGTTTGCAACTTTTGGGTTGGAGGAAAAGCGGGGAAAAGCAAGCGAAGGGCGGAAATGGTGGTCATATGAAAAGCAGAGAGGTAAAGCAGTTAGGGCAGTTGGTTAAGCAGCAGGGGATTGGGTAGTAGGTTTCTGGGTTTACTGGGATTTAGATGGTGCTAGTTGGCTGTCCTACGCACTTACATTGGCTTTGTTGCTGTCGCTGGTCTCCGCTGCCTGTGAGTTATCCTTCTCCGTTTCTTTGTCCTAATTGCGATACGCAATAAACCATTGTTAAAGATCCTTCACAGATAGTTCCATTTACTCACCACCTGCTCCTTGGAAATTTGCTGTTTAAGGGCAGCCACAGCCTCTTCGTTTTGTGCCTCGGTTGCCTCCTCAAAAGAGGATGATTTTGGCTCGTTGGTAGCTTCATCCTCCACATCTTCTCCCCTGGAGGGTTTCTCCAGTTCGATTTCCTCCTCGTCTATGGAGAGCGCTTTCTCCCGCTTCCAGAACTCGGTATCCTTGTAGTGCTCTGGAACTACTTCACCCCAGGGATTGGTGCTCTCTTCACCGAGCATTTCCAGAGAACTGGGCGTCTCCACAGGCGGTTGCATGTCCTTTGCTGGACTCCTTTTGTGACGTCGATGGGCCTTAACCCTCAGAGTGGGTTCACTCGTGTACTTGATGGGATTGTAATCCTCCCGATCGCCGTGACGCAGTTCCTCTTCCTCCAGCGAGGTGAACATCTTGAGCTCCTCGTCACGGGAGGCGCGTGAGTCTCTCGAGGAATTGGAACTGCCACTGGAGCGGCGCTTCTTGAAGGCTCTCCTCCTGCCCGAACCGTCTTCCCGAACCAACGGACGATTCTTGATGCCGTCCAGGGATCGCAAGTACTCCTCGGTGTACTGTACATCTGGAACCTGATCTTCTCCTTCGGGCTCTGGGCGTTCGCCTTCGGTGCGGTTGGCCTCATCGGAGGGTTGGGTGCTGAAGGAGGATTTCTGACTGGAGAAGGGTTCCACGGAGGATCCTTCATCGGAAACACCTGGGAAGGTTAGGGTTTTGGACTTCACCAAGTACGCATCTTCGGAACCGCTTCCTTGACCGAATTGGGTTTTCACTTTCTGCACTACTAGAGGTTCTTCTGTTGGTTCTTGGAACCGAGGTGCCGCCACTTTCTTTATGCAGGGCTCTTCCACTACAGGTTCCATTCCGGCGTACTCATCTGCCTCTTCTTTACTGTGCGCTGCTGCCAGTTGTCGTTGCTGTAACATCACCATCTCCTCTTCGGCTTCCAGGAATCTTCTGGCATTCTCCTCGATCATTCGCTGTTTCTGCTCCAGATCCGTTTTGCTGGAGATCAGGCGACGTGACTGTTCTGCAATGGCAATGTCTTCCTCCAGTTCGCTTTCGGTGGCACTCGGACTGAGATCTCTTTCGGCTGCCAGAAGACGCTCTACAATCTCCGCATCCCGCTGAGCCTGTTCTTCATCCTCGGCTTCTTGGCGCTCTCTCTGGATCTCCGCTTCAAAGAGACGACGCTCGGCATCCGCAGCCTCGGCTTCAGCAAGGAGTCTTTCTTCCTCAGCTCTCTCCCTTTGGCGTTCTTTCTCGGCTTCGGCTTGCTCTCTCTGACGCTCTGCCTCTATGATTCTTCTTTCGCTTTCTTCCCGCTCTCGCTGCTCTTCAGCTGCTTGCAGTCTTCGCTCGTTTTCTTCCCGTTCGCGTTCAGCTTCTATCAGCTTTCTTTCATTTTCTAGGCGTTCCTTCTCTTCGATTTCTCGTTGTTTACGATCGCTTTCTTCTGCTTCTAGCTTTCTTCGCTCGGCTTCTCTTTGTTCTTGCAGCTCTTTCTCTGCCTGCTCTCTTTCGCGCTGTCTTTCCGCCTCAATTAGCTTTCTCTGCTGCTCTTCCGATTCTTCCTTCTCCCTTTGCACCCTTAGTCTCTCTTCTGCCAGTTTGGCCTCGGCTTCGGCCAGCTGACGTCGTGTCTCCGCTTCGATTTGCTGTTGTCTTGCCAATTCTGCGGCCAGAGCTTCTCTTTTATCCCCAGCTGGATCCACTCGTATTCCGTTGCTATAGAGGACACCATCCTGCATGACATTTGTTCCAGCCAGAGCTTCTCTTTCCGCCGCCTCTTTGATTTCCCTGTCCAATCTCTCGCGCATTCGCGGCAATTCTTCCGAGTCAGCAGCTGCATCAGCAGCAGAAATCCCGGGATGTTGGAAAGTCCAGTGGTAGAGATGACGGGCCACGAAGGCGAATTCCAAGGCGCCCAAATAGCCAATTAGCAGCGAGAAAAGCAGCTCGCCGACGCCGGTTAGCGCCGTCTCCTCAGCGGCCATTGCGTAATGCCCAAAATCGATTCCGATTCCCCGATTCCGATGCCGAATCCGAATCCTCCAACGCTCGGCGATGCAATGAGAACGAGAATATATATCTCTCGACGGTGAACGACGGCGATTCGGCCAACGCGTATTATATAAAATATATTCACCACGCACTCGAAACACTCACACCACTCACGTTAATGGCCAGATGATTAGGTAATTCGAAAAATATTTAGCTCACTTTCGGCATGCAAATCATTGAACCAATCATCAATATATATAATATTTATTTATCTTTGCTTTTCGACGTTTATGAGAGCGCGAGGTGACGGAAAGCGAAGATTCGGTTCGGAAAATCGCCAGGCGGCGGCGGCACTTTTCACGGGCGGCGGCTCTTGTTTTCCGCTAATCGATCGTCTTGCAACTGATTAATGCCTCGGCGGCGGCAAGTGCCCAATGGGTCGCGAAAATGCTATAGAGAACAAGTGAATCAGCGGCGGCGAGAGAAACCGCCAAGAACCGAATCCGTCCAAATGGCAAATAGCAAACGGCGCTAATTGACGGCCAGGCGAATAGAGAGAACATCCAACAACTGACAAGAAGACATCGCCGCCGACTTTTGTCGCTGGCAATTTGGCAACGCAACACAACACAAATGGCGTTGCCTTTTCATTCGGCTGCACTGCCTCCGTGTCAAATGCCAAAGCAATCGGAATTGGCCAAGGCGGATTTTCTAATCAGTTTAGTCGACGAACGCCCCCCACCACCATTACAGCCGCGCCCCCTTTTCCCTTTTCGCTTTTCCTTTTGGGCGATCTATTTTCGTCTACGCTTCGATTGCCGTTTTCCACAAAACACTTTTCGCCACTTTCTGCTTTGCTCGCAGTTTTCGTGCGGGAGAACAGTCAGCGACATGGCCGTAAATCAGATACGCAAAACGAATTAATTTTGGCTTTCCGATAAAGCATTTCATTCGAGATAAGATATCAAAAAAATCCTTTTTCGATATTAGAATGCTACTGAAGATTTTTAAAAATTTCTATTAAGTTCATATTACATAGGTATAGTATACCAGTGCGTATACGTAATATACTAATATAAAGCTCACATTACGTATACGCAAAGAAAAAGGGAACTATTATAGTTTTTAATTCTTATTTATAAATAAGTAAAATATAAGAATGATTTTTTGAATAAATAATTTTTAAGCCCTTCTTATAAAACTCCTTATTCACCATATCAACAGGTTTGTTCTTTAAAATCAAACATAAATTGTTTAACCAATTATGAAAAAGAGCCAAGTAAAACAAATTTTTTTTTTTGGGATATAGAAGAAAGACCTGATATTCATAGCTTCTACTGTATTTGGTGTTTGCAAATCTGTTTTTCTTTGGCATGGCCAGCGCCTGGGGCCAGGGTCGCCACGCCCCATTTCTCCGCCTCCGAGCGGACTGCACACAAATGTTTGCCATAAATTTCGACTTGGCACTGACACTAACATTGCCAACAGCTTTTGGCCCGCTCTTTTCGCATTTTCACCGACTTCTCTGTTCTGTATTCTCTTCGATGTTTTCTTTGCATTATGCACCGCCAACAATAGAAACAAGCGTAATAATTATTGTCAATTTGCGCATAATTGTGCTCTTGCCCTACATTATAGCCCATCTATTTTTGAATTCCTTTGTTTATTTTTGTCAACTGATTGTCATTAGAAATTGTGCCAAAAATACATCTAATTTATGAATATATAGGTCGTCTGGGCGCAGAAGTATTTACATATTTATCATGGTCTTTTCGCAGCGAAAGCGAAAGTTTTTCTTTGTGATGGGCTGGCAAAATTATCAAAGCAATAAATGAATATAGACGGAATAAGTTTTGAAATTGGTATAATTTGAAAAGAATTTTGTTCAAAAAAGCTTTTGTGATGAATTACAAAATGTAAACTTAGCCACAATATTTTATAGACTTATTTATAATAATGTGAGATGTTATTAATTGTTTATTGAATGGGATGAAACCATGTCATTCAAAAATTGTTTTAAGATTTTTAGAGGGAATTTTGCTAAGATTATTCGAAGATTATTTTGACACAGAACATTTTAATGATAAGCTGTGTTTTAGAATAGAAATTAAATTTCCTTTGGTCGCATAATATTATGTTTTGAATTAATTTTTTTCACACATTTAATTCCACAGCTCAAATATTTTTTATTATATTTATTTATTATTTTAAATAACCGATACCCACTTTCAGTGATTTTAGCAACCTCTGACCTCAACCGATTGACGCTCAATCAAACTTCCGGCTCAATCGCAATGAACTTCCGCTCGACGGATGACAACGCGTCAACAGCCAGTGCTGCCAATGAACTGCCTTCGCCGCTTTGTTGCCACCACAATCGCCAAGTCGCTGCATCGAGGAGCCGGAGGATTGCCCCCAAGTTTCCACCAGTTCCAAAGTGAAGTTCAATGAAAATGCCATAACCTTTGGAAAGGGCCAAGAGCCGCACCTACGCAATAAACTCGAACTGCGTGAGGCGGGCGATAAAAACCAGAACCCGTGACAGTGGGCACTCACTTCTCACACGGACACACTTTCAGTTGGGAAATGACACACACACACACACACACAGATAATATCGCTGGAAAGCGCCCCAAAGTGTGCCACACAATAATTTTCAATTAGGGATCGAGGGATATATAGAAAATGGGAACTGTAGGCTGGGGACTCACCTCATCACAGCCGGCGCAACGGGGCTTCAGCATTTCCGCATAGTGGCGCTCGCAGTAGATTTTGTCGTCGTGGACGCAGTACGTCAGGTCCACCAGCAGCGAGTTGCAGGTGCTGCAGGTGAAGCACTTCGGGTGCCACATCACGCTCTCCACGAACTTGGGAGCCGCCACCACCAACTCGCCGGTGGCTATCTCGTTATCACAGTGCGCACAATGCTCATCGTAGGGGGCATCCTTGATGTAGGCTATTCACCCGGAGGATAATGCAAAACGCAATCAGTTGGGTTCATTTGGGCGGGGTTACTCTTAGGGAATTAAAACTTAAGCAAAGTAGGAATTTGGTTTTGAGGGTAGCAACATATGTTGACTTTTTTATCAGTACTTGAATATCAGTACCTGAATACTAAAAGGATCAATCAAATAGTTGGACATGAATTGGGCATAGAAAACATATTGCTATAATCTCATTTAAGTTTTTTACTTTTTAATATTTTGTTTCTCATTTCTGGTTTTATATTACAACTTTTAATTGCTTGCTATTGTTAAAATGGTAAATTTTATTTTATAAATGTTCTTGGAGATTTGATATTGAAAGAAATCGAAAAATGGTAAACAGGAAGTTTACTAACTTTTAGGAGGTCTGAGATAAATATTTAAATAAACTATTTAACTAACTTCCTATATTATAATCGGATATATAACTCACCTATATCCAGCGCGATCTCGTTCCGCGCCGTCACAAAGTCCTCGAAGGAGGCCTCGTGCTGCACCTCCAGGTGCTTGCAGTGCTCCAGCGAGAGGTCCTGTTTGGGCAGCTGGTACGAGATCTGGCGCTCCCGACTGCAGGCTCCCTCGCTGCCCAATCTAGGAACCACTTCCTCTGGCAGCTGCTCGAAGTACCGGTTGATCCGCGACGAGGCCCTCACTCCGGGAGGAACCCACGTGAATCCCAGATCCCGTGCCTCCACCCCTGAATCCGCTGGAGAGACCAGCTTGAAGCCGAGCCGCTCGTGCACGTTGGTCGTCTGTTGCTGGTAGATGGCATGCGCTTCGCGAGGACATTTGCAGGATTGGCAGGTTTTCCTGGAATCAAAGAAGAAAAGGGAAGATTTAAAATTTAATTCGAATCCCAACTTAACTGAAAAATTAAAAAATGGATTCAAATAACCTTTAATAAATTTGAATTTCTTTTATATTTACTGAGATGTTTTCAAAACCTATTCAGCATTACTTTTAACCTGCTTAAACTTCAGCAATAATTGTTATTGATACTTTGTGATATTGATATTGTAATGATACTTTTTAAAATTCACTTAAGGGAACAAATAAATTAAAATATTTTTCACTACACATGAATGAACATACAATAGTCATTTTATATTTTACACCGTATTCATTTATTGTTTGTAATTGCAAAATTGTTAATATTTTCCACTGTGCGCAGCTTCGTTTTGCTGTGCGCGGGTGGCGCCATCCGGCGGCAGCTTTGCGAACCCCGGCGAGACCTTACCTCACGATGAGATCGTATATTTCCTTCCTATCGAATACTTTGCAGTAGATACTGAGCACGTTGAGGCAGGCGTAATCCATTCCCGTCCACGGAACATCCGAGGAGGCCAGTGCCGCCCACAGTGGGCACTCTGCGTGACGGTCCAGATCGAGCATTTTCACCATCTTACGCCACTTTTAGCCGCACTTTGAACTGGGGGTTTTTGGGTCTTTATCTGTATCTTTATCTGCTTTTGCTTCTTTTTATTTCTATTACTGTTACCGCTTGTCTTAATGAACTTGGCTTTCATGTGTTTATGGTTAAATATCTTTTCTTGTTGCCTGACTTTGCACAATTTGTCGGTTCTTCTTTGGTGATTCGCTCTGCCACCTCCACGAAAAAATAAAAAAGAGGAGAAACTCGCGGTTTAGGTTAAATCACCTTTCATTCGGCACGTCGGTCTGCGTTATTTGCTCATTGACATTTTGATTAAAGTGCTTATCTGACCTTTGTTCTGCTACGATTTGTTTACTATGGGAGAATTTCATTTTACTCAAGAGAGGAATTCTGCAGACTGGGAATTTCTATAATTGCTTGTTTACTTATTTTTCAATTAGGGCTACAAGCAAAATAATCGCAATCATAAATACGCCCACACCTGCGGAATTGTGCGTAAACACGATATAAATACACAGAAAGTCAGGAATTAGATTATGAATCAGCCTTAAAAGGGAATTTGTCATTTTAAGAAGGTGAACAATTCAGCATGCTTTTTTAATAAATTTTATTTTGGAAACAAGCTTCTACAAAACACCTGCGATTAAATAACTCCCCTTCAAACACTTTTCATGGCAAAACCATTTTTACTGTTTGCGACCCCAAAATTTGAAATTATGATATATGAGCTCCCTTTTTCCCAGTAAATTATTAAACAGAAATACAAGTGAAATAAGCTCACGATTATGGGGCTGCCCGTTTGGCTGACATTTAACGAAAATAAAAACGCCCCAAGCAATGAAATAAAATAAAAGGTAGAAAAGCATCTTTTGATAAGATTAATAAAGGTCTCTACCCCCCACAATACACACACACATATACACACGCATACCCACACACACACGCACAACTCCTGGGTAGGATTGGCCACCAGCCATCAACGTGTGTGATGTCATCAGTGGGGCAACTGGGGAACTCAGAACTGGGAGCTGGGAACTGGAAACGAAAAACCGAAAACCCAAAACCGAAATTGCCAAATTCCATTTGCTCAATCATCGACGGAGGCCAAACTGCGTTAGCGTTCAAAGTAAGATAAGCCGATGTGAGTTCTTCCACCTAAATGGAAACCAAATGGAAACAGGGTTGGCGATTGTCCAAATGGTTCCTTCAAACGGAGGGTATATGCTATATACTATATAGTATATGTGGTATATGGTTTTGAAATGTCAGTTGTCCCATTATGGTCTTGTTCGGGAAAATGAGGAACTGTTTGCTAATTGCTCACGACTTTGATGCGGAAAAGCTCAACAGGTTTTGATTTTACTGGCCAGAGGGGATTTGTCCCAGGTAATGCAAATAAATTGAATAATTTAATGCGAGCAAAAGTGAGTGAGTCATGTACCTATGACACACAAAGTGTAGGTTCTATCAAGATCTACATACGAGTATCTAGTCCACTTTATGTTTACATTTTGCGAGTCCAGAGGAACATGAGGAACACTCTAAAATTAAGTGGGCTACTCAGAAACAGTGATAAGATTTCAGTGGAAAAAACGTAATATTGAGGGTAGAAAAATGTCTGTTTTGGGTTGTTATCTTTCTTAATACAAATACAAGTTTTATCACTAATTTATCAATTGAGGAAGCAATCAACAAAATTATTTGTATTTGGTCATAGATTAATTATAA